TTAATCATAAGGGTTCAACGCCGCGCCGCCGCCGCCACTTTCGACGATTGTTTCTGTTCTTTCTCTCTCATTATAATAAAAAATATCCAGCCAAAACGCCCTTTTTTTAGCATCCAAAGGTGGTGGTGGTATAGTATACATATAGGTACATAATAATATGCTTTGCGGTGGTAATAATAATTGACGGGTGGCGCAAACCGGAATCGACTCGTGTCGAGTTTGTGTGGTGTAACTGCCGGGGATTGTCCAATTAGAAAAAAACTAGTTTTTCTTGAAAATCCCTCGGATACCGTATGATTACAGTATGTGTTCGTCTCCCTAGTCTGGGCGCTACTTTTAGACATTTGTAAAAATGTTGTCACGGTGTAAACGAGAGACAGGGCCGAGTTGGAGTCGTATACTAATTACCGCTAATGCTAACCGGCTGCATGTTACAACCCCTTTTGTTTATTTATTTATTTTTTTCCATACACTTGTAATCGTATCAAACGTGGATAGAGGCGGCGATCCACGCGCGGGGCTTGTTGTCTGTCATTTGGCCGGACAACAAAACAACAAGCAAAGGCTAATGACGAGGGACGGTCATCGCTTTCTTTTCTTTTCCAATGTGCAGCGTTTAGACATATTGGCACGGTGAAGGGTAAACAACAAACGCCCCTCGAACGACGTATGCCAAAAAAACAGATAAAAAGGATCATTATTGTTATTGCGCGCCGTTGAAATGTTTTACATTAAACAGCAAGTATAATAATATTAACAATACGGGCCATTGTTTAATAATGTATATATTACAAGCGGTCATCGGGTTGCTATACCAACCCCTTGAAACCTTCTCATCCTCGCTGTATCATAACGCATAATATAATTAATACCTGCTTTGTATTCGGTCTCACTATGCGTTGATTAAACATGTATAGGAGCAATCATAATATTATATCCGCCGTGCGGTAGGTAGTAATTAACAGCGTGTGTCCGAATATCGCTTTGTCATTTTAATTTACCTTTTCGATTATTTTTGACAATATTATGATGGTAGAAATACAAATATCGATAAATTGATCTATATACAATAATCTGCTACCATATCATAATTATTAACATAATACAAATATTATATTTTTGAGATACCCGTTGACTAACTTTCACATAGCAAGCGGCACTAAACTATATGAATATTTGTATTTTTCGTGTGTTTTTCTCGGTTTTCAAGGGCAAGGGGTAAACTTTTTACACACTTTAGCCCACGAAGAGGCCACGTTAGGCGTTTTAATTGGGTGTCGCAATCATATGTGATGGTTAATATTTTATAGTATTGTGATTTATGGCCGTATTATAATATCTCTTCGAGTGCGCGGGGACCGAACCTCTGCTGCTGCTGCTGCTTAAGTCCGGCTAATCGAGATAGTCTCATCCCTTGTCTCCGCCGCGGACATAATAGGGCAAAATGGAAGCACGTGCTTTGTGGCGTCGATAGCGATCGAAAAACGGCGACACGTGCCCCCGTGATGACGGCGATGAGTCGTGGGTTATATTGGCCGAGGATTAAGAAAAGAAGGGCAGCAGGCACAGGGGGAGGTGTGTTACGGCGGGATTTTCGACATTTTTGGGGTAGCAGAAAAATGATTTCTAATCCGCAACAATCTTGTCGTCTGGGTAGGGCAGAGGGGGGGGGAGGCAGGCACGACAATAATAATAATAATCTAAAACAAATATTGCGTCATCGGCGAGGGGGAAAAAAAAAAAGTGTACAAACCAAACATAATAGGGAATAATTAGAACGTGGTCTCATTGTTTGCATTCGGTAAACCACGCACAAGGGTTACACACAGTTTCTCTTTGAAGTATATTGTCAATATTATATATAGTCTGAGTCCGCGGCGTGTGCACATCACGAATCAGCGTCGTTTCTTTATAATGTGTATATAAATATATACATACAAAAAAATTTATTGTACATATCTCTCTGGGGTTTTTTTTGTTTTTTTGTTTTTTGTATTTCGATTGCCCCAGAGATGTTTGCCCCCCCCCCCCTTGTTTTTTAGGTGCCCGTGTGAGCATGTTATGCCATCGCTGCTGCTCTGCCCTAGCCGTGTGTATTTAATAAACAACAAACATTTATTATTCGCATTGTGTTCAATCGTGAAAAGACATTCTTACGACAATCGACCCTCTCCTCTGGCATAGGTTTGTTATTTTAGTTCAGTGAATATTATTTGCTGCACGAGGACAGTGACAACCGGCCGTTTGCACCGCCGCTCATCATCATCATCGTCTGGAACGCTGAATTTAATATTAGCCAAAGATAACACAAACCAATTAAAAACGAAATGATTATTTAAATAATTAATGTTAAACGCCTTGTCTGCGCTATGTAGTTGCTGCTACGTCATTCTCGAATTATTCGAATAATATTTTAAACAGTTTATAAGCGATACATAGGTACATACTACATTTACAAAATGTATAAAACAAGCATAAATTGAAAAATAATTATTGGAATAATTTTTTTATTCGAATAAACGTGCATATTTAATTAAGAATAATTTGCTGAAAAATTTCACTGGTCGATAACCAGTGGATGATTACTTTTAAAGTCATTAAAGTTTAAAACCGATGACTAGGAATAAGGGTGGAATATAGTCTTTTTTTTTTATCTGCGTGTATTATTATCCTTAATGAATCGCCCTGGATAATTATAATATTTGCGTCACAACAATTTGTATTATAATATTATTACATTAAATCTCTGCCATGTAGTTTGGCAGGAATTTTGTTTTTTTCCGCTGTTTCCACTACCGGACAACCTAACCTGTCGTGTCTCGAACGTTTCGGTTGTACATGTGTTCTTCTTCAAGCGAAACAACCAACCGGACAAGTTCATAACGCCTAAATAAAGATGTACACAAACAGGGTTATGTACATTAATTAACATATATTTTAAACAACTCTGTATTATACCGGTTAGGTAATGATTTTTTATTTTCCCGTCGCGCCGCCAGCCCGTGGTTTGGTTTAATTTAAAAAATATACAATATATTAACGGTGAAATATTGTAAAAAAAAAAAAACAAAGTACACAGTGAAAAGGAATAAAAGGGCACAAGGGCTACTGCTGCTGCTGAGTGTTGTGACGTGATTCGGTTGGAGGCCGGGCACTTTATATTCATAAATGTGACCGCACCCCGGCAAATAATAAATTAATAAAAAAAGAAAACCTTTTGGTTTTCGCCAAAAATTTCGGCCAAGTCTCTCCGCGGAAAAAAAGAATTATTTAATAGCTTTTCTTTCTCTCTTTACATCCGGCCAAAGCGGAAGCGCGCAACATGAATAAGTCAGCAGCGTCGTGTACCGCACCGGCTTTTGTCGACGGAAAAAAAAGAAATAAAAAAAAAAAAGAAACCACTTAAGTCTTCGTTTTGCACGATGGTGCAAAAGTATGAGATGACCGAGAAAAAAGAAAAATCGCAGCGATAGGCGGATAACGTTGCCGGTCCAATAACAACACACATCTCAAGACAATGATTTTTATATAAGAATATAAAAATGTTATTGTAGTCAGAGAGCTGTTCTGCATCAAATATGTTGAGTTAATTATAAGCTGTTATGCATTCGAATGAGAGACATTGTCCAAATAATCATCTAGATAACACATTATTCGAGTAAAAGTTATTCGAATAACTTTTTCAAATTTAATAATTATTCGAATAATTTTCAAAATAACTAATTCGAATCAATTGTAAACAAATTTAATCGAATAATTTTCAAATTAATTAAATAGAATCAATTTTAAACAAATTATTCGAATAACTTTCAAATTAGTTTAATCGAATCAATTGTAAACAAATTATGCGAATATTTTTTGTAACTCTTATTCGAATAAGAATTTGCAAAACTGAAGTATATTTGTTTGGTTTACAATCGGATTGTCTTATAACATGTATCATACCGGTCGTCAACGTGAATGTGACTATATAATAATAATAATACCTAATAATATGTAAAACATGCCGACCGAGAGAAATAGACGGAAACAGAGAGAGGCGGCGTTAAACAATCTAATAAATAATAATAAGTCCTAACGAATTGGACAGTTGCCTTATGTGCTCTTCTTCTCCCTCGCCGACGAGGTTCACCGACTGACTGATACACACACTGCCGGTATTATTATTATTATTATTATTGTATTTTAAGTACTGGACCGTTGCCACGTTTTCGCACTTTGTCTTAATGTCGACCACTGTTTTTTTCTTCTTCTTTTAACCGTGTATTTTTCTCTAGTCTCGTACCCCTTCTTCTGGGGAAGCAAACAAAACATGATGATTTACTTCCGTCGTCGTCGTCGTTTACTCTACATTTTTCCGGTCGGTTTGCCATCTAATTTTTGTATATTTTATTTAAAAAAAAGTGTCTTTACATTCTATACAATGGAGACGACGGTTACACACATGGCACACCGAGAGATGCGATTATATCCGAATCATTATTTTGCACGGAAGTAGTTTGTTAGAGTGATTTTTTTTTTTTTTTGGCAAATTTTTATTTTTGCCAACGAGTGGGCGACCGACGGGTAGCAGCAGCACAGTTACACACTATAGTCTGCGGTTATAATAATCGAATGATTCATAACACTATAATATAGTTGTTGCCTGTGCGTAGATGGAAACCAACACGTGTTTCCGGAAGCCGGAACAAGGGGCGAGAGGGTTGACACTGTTGTTATTTTATTAGCACATGTCGACATTTTTTTGCTGCCACTCAATTTTTTTTTCCCCATTCGCATTTCGCACAGGATGCTGCACGCTGGTTTATTTTTTATAATATTAGAATAGCTATATTAATTATAAAAAAATGCGTCATCGAGGTTCGGCTAATTAAAACAATCTGACGGTATAAAATATACGATGCTGGGTTTTATTCTTGTCATACATCAAGTCATAAGTTTAAGGCGCGTAGAATACAATTAGTGTATTTAATCATACTATAATATTGTTTGTCCGACAGAATCAGTTCAATCACCTGAAGGGATTGCCCGGCCTAACGCATCCTCAGTCGCTTTTCTTCTTGCCACTGTTGGATCAGATCCGCGGTTTGTCTCAAGGCGGTCAGCAACAGCATCAAACGTCCACCACGACGGCCTCGACCAACTGCAACGTGAGTACATCTTAATATAAAGATACACTTATTATATTATATATATATAAAATCCTAGTCAGTCCCAAGTACGGGAATTGCCTATACCAATTGTCTCCTTAAGGTAAATAGTGGCCGTATGACGTGTGTAGCACATATTAAGAGGATGATCGTTTTTTTTTTCTGTTAACAGCTATACAATGGTGTTATTTATAAGCATTATATATCTTATCTGGTCTTGCCGGAGTAGTTTATTTTTACACTGCGACTGTATTTTAATACCGATTAAAACGGGACGGTACAAGTGGTCGATAATAGTATAATACTAAACAATACCATGAGTAATAATAATAATCATCATTTCGCGTACGAGTGGCTCGAAACCCTATTGTTTGTCGTTCAAGTGCACGTTTTATTGGTTCGGTGTTGTTTGTAGCATAACTTTGACATTTTTCGCGAGGGAGGTTCTTCAGAAAATATATCAATTCTCAATAACACTTGTGATAGCGAAACACTTGATATCAATAAAATACAAATATCTTATACACTATGGACCGCGAATATTCGGTTTCTTTATACAGATAACGCCAATGCACAGCAACAGCTCGGTGTCGAAGCCATAAGTTTGATTTCTTGCAGCAAGTCATATGTGATCAAATCTTGTGGACCGGTTCGCTATGAGAACTCCCTGCATTCAATTGCATTCATGGATTTTCATCAATCCAGTGAATTCATTCCTCAACTAGGATAGGGTTTATCGAATTCCTCGATACTGATAGTCAATATCGAAACTCAACCTAACCAAATCTAATCTAAAACAAACCTAGTTTGTGAATTTCATGACGCTTTTAAGGCAAATTGATCATCTCAAAAGCATATTCTTTGCTAAAATTTGTGTACAATCCATACCTATTGACTCCAGTAGTGTCTCCACTAGTTCTAAAGTTGCTTGTAACTTTTTGGTGACAATCTGGCCTGGAGTTTCTCTTATACGACCGGATTTTAATGTGTTTTTTTTTTCATCTATCTTCCGACAGACTATACCGACGCCAGTATGGCCCAATGCCAGACCACCGTCCTCGTCTTCGGCCAGCCCGTGTTCCATGCAACAGGAATCGTCGGTGGTGTCACAACAGCAGCAACAAAATGCAACAGCGTCGGACCCGGACACTCCCTTGAACTTGACCAAACGTAAATCGCCCACCCCACAGCCTTCGCAGCACCATCAACAGCACCAGCACCACCATCAGCAGCAGCAACAACAGCAGCAGTTGGCTTCCAATATGTTTCCACCCAGAAGTACACCGCCCATGAGTTGGAACTCGACGTCGCCATCGGCCACTACCCCGGGGTCTGCCAATAGGCGATCCGGGTCGGGCCAGGGTCTGGTCAGTCCACCGGCCGCTGCCACTCCTAAGCTTCTGCCTCCACCGATTCCAGTGCCCAGAGGCTTTATGCCGTACGCCGGCATACCACCGCATTCTTCTGGTAAGCCTATGTTAAATGCAACTCCGCAATGTCAATAGTTAGTCCCAAAATACAGTGACAGTTAGCTTGTAGCAGTTCAAAACGTATTATTAAGACTTTTGTCAAAGTTTGACATGTCCTATTCTTTGTTGATTCATCGGTTTACTGTAGTTTTATGTGTGGACATATTTGCTCGAGCACTGGAAATCCTCATTTAACTCTCATTGCGTTTTTTTGTTTAGCTGGTAAACTCAGCTTATCTCCCGGCAAAGACGGAGACAAGATGTCTCCGTACTCGGGACTTCAGCTGTATTCGTCACATCCACCTCAGCTTCACCGGGACGAACATTCCGAAAGCATGGATCTGCGTAAGCACCGTTTTTTAGTCTTAGTCTTATCTCATGACATCCGATAGAAGAAATGATGAAAATTTAATTTGTGTTTGTTCAATTTTTACAGCCTGGGGACCCAGCGATCCGAACTTTAAACTTGCCGACGACACTAGCGATAGAGGTGAGTTTCGGATACAAACTCCGAAGGGTTTGTCGTGTTTGTTGATTTCCAATCGTAGCACGGTAGTGTTCTAATGGCGTTTTCCGTACAACAGGTAGAATGATTCGGCAGCAAAAGAAAGACGGCGAACACATCAAGAGACCGATGAACGCGTTCATGGTGTGGGCCAAAGACGAAAGGAGAAAGATCTTGAAAGCCTGCCCGGACATGCACAACTCTAACATTTCCAAAATACTAGGTAAGCATATTATCATAAGTCGATATTTATTAAACGGCTGTTGTACTTCGTCTATGGCTAATAAAGGATTATTGATAAGAATATAGTGATAAGAAACAGATGATAAAGGATCAGTGATAAGAGACAGCTGATAATATATCTTAACAACAGCCATACACAGATATACGTAATAAACTAGATTGTTACTAGTGATAAGAATTATTGAAGTCGACGTCGCGGCCATTTTTGTGGGATTTATGTGTGTATCAACCACAGATATATATAATAAACTAGATTGCTAACTAGCAATAAGAATTGAAGCCGACGGTCCGCCATTCTGGTGGGATTTATGTGTGTTATCAATGCATATTCTATATTTGTCCTATATATGTTCTATATATATTATTATATCAATATTATATATATATCTGTGATTGTTATAAACATATATTATTCTCGCGTGATAAGGTTCTAATTCCCACCAAGATGGCGCGTAAAGTGGCTGCTTCAATCTTCTCTACTGGTGGCATGTACGGTTAGCAATCTAGTTTGTTATATATATATATATCCTATGGTACCAACTTAACTGTAATTCCCACAAAGACTGTGGGAAACGGTGACCCCGATTATCTAGTTTATTATGTGTACATACATATGTGGATCCAGATACAGGTACGAGACGGCTAATAATATCTCCTAATGAGAGCCGGATGTGATATGAGATAAGAGATAAAAGACATCTGATAACACCTTCCGATAAGATAATAGTGATAAAGAGCAACTGATAATGGCTGTCCTGATAAGAGACGATTAAATTTCGATCGACTGTGGGTTAGTAACAAGGATAGGTCAGGGAGAGGGGAGCAGGAAAACGTATCCGCGATCGTATATGATTTTCAACTTATACACGGGTCATTTAATTATCAACAGGTGCCCGGTGGAAAGCCATGACCAACGCGGACAAGCAGCCGTACTACGAGGAACAGTCGAGGCTGTCGAAGCTGCACATGGAGAAACACCCGGACTACAGGTACCGGCCGCGGCCCAAGCGCACGTGCATCGTGGACGGCAAGAAGATGCGGATATCCGAGTACAAGACGCTGATGCGACAGCGCCGGAACGAGATGCGGCAGCTGTGGTACAGGGGAGAGGGCGCGGGCCCCTCGGGATCCGGCGACGTGGCCGGCACCAGCTTCGGCTATCCCCCGGACGGGTCCATATCGCCTTCGGACATGATGTACTCGCCGGCCAATTCGCCGTCGTTTGGCGAGAACAGCCACGACGAAGATTGAACGCCGTCAGTCGGTCGGAGAGAGTCACTTAATACTTAATACAAATCGTTGGTCCCCGTCCCCCCCCCCCCGCGCCCCGCCTCAGTTGTACTGTGTTCGTGCGCGTGTCCGGCCGGAGAAAGACACGCGGTGCGCAGAAACCAAAACGCGACAGTCGCGCATGCGCACGCGCACACGGTTGTCACGCGTTTTGGTTTCTGCGCACGTCGCGGTGTCTTTCTCTCGTCGGACGCGGACTATAATCTATTGTCATTATTATTCGTTCGGAATAATAAGCTGCTGTTGTAAAACGCTCTTTTTATTATTATTATTATTATTATTTTTTTTTTTTTCGTTTCGTTATTTTGTTATTGATTATTTTATTTATTTGATTTTATATAATATAATATATTATAATTAGGGCCAGTACCACTAAGGGTTAAGCGACATATATATATATATAATTTTTTTTTTAGTAAAATCAAATATACATTTTTTGTTTTGTAATTATTATTATTCTGTAAATACCGCGTTCCAGTTTTTTTTTTTTTTTTTTTTATAGTAATTTCTAAGTGCATTATATATTTACATATTTACCTATATAATATATATGTGTGTCATCATACTGCGACACAAGCGCATCGTACTTATATATTATATACTTGGTACTAACAAACGAGTTATTATTATTATTATTATTTTATTTATATATATATATATATATATAATGTGTATTCCAAAACGACAAAAAACGTTTGTAGAAGTTAGTTAATAATTTTTTTTTTTTTTTGTGATAAAATAAATTACTTATCCGATAATATTAATCGAACGGCTACGATATGAATGTATACGATATTGACGTTATATATTGTTATATAAAATTATGATATCTTGTCAATCTTATTGTTTACTAATATATAATTAAAAAAAAAATGTATATCTATCGAGTGTAGTAGTAATCGTGGCTCGATTTTTAATATGCGACCACCACACGGGTCGGTGCCGATAAATAATAGTTATGTACAAGCGTGTCCGCAGGCCCTATGATCTCCGTTTTACTTTATTATGTTTTTTTTTTTAAATATCTCTCTTGTAATTATTAATGATAGACATTTGAAAATATAATATTGTAAAATAATAATAATTTATAATATATATATATTTATATTATAATTAAAACAATTTTAAAAACTATAGTAATTTTGAACAAATGTATAAAATTAAAAAAATATATATATAGTTATATTATTATTAAAAAAAAACAACTGTGGAAATAGTATAATATGTAACACGATTAGCTGGTAAAAATATTATGTGTATTGTTTTCTGTTTTCGATTCCACCGACTCGGTTTACCCGAATTTCATTGTATCGATTCGCCGTTTTTTTGTTGTTGTTTTCTCTCCCCCCCCCCCCAATCCCTCCTCCTCCTTTTGAAATAAAAGCCAGTTTTTTTTATAATATTATTAATATTGTATATTAATTAGGTAGGTGTGTAAATATATGTATTTTTTTTTATTAAGTATTATTACGATCAAATAAAAATGAAAAAAAAAAAAAATGTTTTATTTAAAAAAAAAGTCTGGTTTAATTATTAGTTATATTTTTATTTGTATATACTTTTTTTTTTTGTAAATTACACAATTAGTCCAATTGTTAAAAAAAAAAAAAACGAACAGGCGTGCATTTAAGCGCCATTCACTTAAATACCGATATAATTTATTATTATTCATATAGCTAATGATGTCAAAACGATATTTGTACAATTATTATATTACTATATACTTCATATTATGTGTGTATATATTTATATAAATCTCTCTATTGCTATATAAAATAATATAATATTATTATGTGTACGGAAGTATTTTTTTGTAATTCTGTGTGTGTGTTGTATTAGTGCGTGTATCCATTAGGTAGGTAGTTATTTATTTTTTCTTTTATTGTCTGAATTATAATAATTATACACAATTAATTATTCATTATATCATAAGTGTTAAAATAAACCGAATAAAAAATATAGAAAAAAAATATTATTAATTTTTGTGACTATTATTTTCGTCGATGCGTCAATTCATCGATGTCCGTTTTGCTGTAAAATCTAATAATTGTAAATAAGCCAGAACGGTTCAAAGAGTGTGAACAGTTAACACGGTTACTCAAAAATTTCAAAAGGTTATTCTGTTAAAAAAAAAAACAAAGATGACTTTTTAGCTTTTAATTTCAAAAGTAAACAAGCTGTGTTTTTCACTTAATCATTTATTTTGAGCGTAAAAAATAAATTCATACATCGCTGTTGTTACGTGCAAAAGTATAAAATGATTGTCAACAAAGCGCCTTCGACATCGTCTAAGAAGAAACGAGACTTGGCAGTTACAAAAAAAATAGCTACAACAATAATTGTAATTACAATAAAAAGCCGTTTTATGTCGACAATAAAAATAAAAAAATACATATTTTTATGTCATCTTTAATATTTCACATACTAAAGCTATAATATTATATTTTAAGACGATAACAAACAACGTGTTTAAAACAAAAATTTAGAATATAATTTAATGTCGAGTTAAATAAGAAAAATATATACTATAATATTATATTAACATTAAACGATACAAAATTATCATACTAAGTCTTTTGGGAGTTATTTAAAAAAAAAAAATAGTAAATACAATGTATGGCAACCGAAAAATATATAATATATGTATGTATATATAATATGTAAAAAATATTAATTATTTTTAAATAAAAAAATACTAATTTTGGTCACTTTAATCTTAATAATTTACTAATTATCACATATATACGGAAACCGAGTGAGTTTACCTCACTCCGCGGTAAAAATTTATACTTTCAAAATATTCGATGCGATTAAACGTGTAATAATAAAATATGGGATTTCTTATATAATTAAAAAATAATAAATGTCCTTAAGGTCTATGTTTTTCACAATTGAGCTATATAAAAATACATATATATATATATAAAATACTGATAAAAGTTCTCACATTTTCTCAAGTGAGAAATTCCGTTACCGACGGCCGCCTGGACGGCGATGCTTTTAGGGGTACGGTGGAATCTTGGCGTTGTCCTTGCGTGGGCAGGTCGAGAAGCGTGATCGGCGAAAACCTCACTCTGGCCGTAGACGTTGACGCTGAACTATCCCTGGCCGACATGTAACTGCTGTCGTCGCTAGTCAAACTGTCCGGCGGCGTTAGATTGGTCGGCGACACTGTGTACAAAGTATATCGTAACAACAATAATTATCGGTGACATATTTTGTTTTCAAGTTGTCCGTGTTATTAATATTTTGTCGACGCTCACCCGGGCTCGACGATCCGGCGTTGGTCTGACGACTGCCGTATAAGGTTTTCTTAAGGCTCGACCTCAGTCTCGACGGAGTACTGCTCGGCTAAACGATAATAAATACAACATATTCTTAACAATTCAAATAATTAATCAAAACAAAACGAACGCACTACTTCAAATGCATTAGTACTACTACGCGTGATAATAATACCTCTAACGTGTTTGGCCGTTCCAACCGTACACTAGGGGGGTTGTCCGGTGAGAAATAACTGGAATAATCACCGGCACGTCTCAAATACGGTAACGACAACGACGTGGCCGTCACGTTTGTCTGATAACATTCCTCGGGTTCCAATATGAACGTAGGATTTCTACCTCCGTATTTATACTGATGACGGCTTCCTGGTTGAAACGAATGTAAACCGCCACCGTCGTTGTGAGCACTGGGATTGTCGTAAGCGTACAATGTTCTTTTATCGTACTCATAACTGTGATCGTATCCTCTATCGTTCGATAACTGACGATATCCTTGAAATAACAAATTTTCAATTTTAACATTTCATCATCATAAACTTATGTCAAATAATAAAATATCAATAAACATACATATTAGGGTGTACCAAAAAAAAATTTGTTTTTTTTTGTTCTTCTCTTGACATTATGTTCCTTGGGGTAAAATAATATTTCCCTATTTTTTCAGATTTTTAAAATTATTTTTAGAGGTTACGCGAGCATCAATTTTCCAAAAAAAAAATGTTTTTCAGATTTTAATTTTTTTATGGTATAAATATAAATTTTAAACAAATGTTGCTTGTATACAAAATCATCATTAGAAAAAGAGGAATAAACCAATATTTTTTTTTTTTTACAAAAAAAACTACTATCCAACTAATTTAGGCCTTAGAATGTAAAATTTGCGAAAACATTGATACCTCTAATAGTACCCTAAAAATTTTTTATATTGGTATAAAATATTTTTAACTTATTCCTCATTTAGTTGCAAAGAATTTCGATATACTTACATAACACATTATTCTAACAATAAATCAGAAAAAAATTAATTTAAAAAAAAATCAAAAAAACAAGTTTTGAATATACATATATTTTTTTTTTATTATTATTACCCTCGGCAGCAAAGGCCATTATATTATTTATATATATATATATATATAATCATATTGATATAATAAATATACTTATATAATATATAATAGCTGACCGCTGTGCAATCATAATGCCAAAAGAGTGTATTATGAAGTCTTGTTTTTTTTGTTTTTATACAATTTACAATTTATGTATTTCTATATAAATATTTTTATTTTATTTTATAAAATAATATTGTTTTTTGTTAATTACTTGTAAAAACTATGAACTAAAAAATATATATATTTGTTAAGTAACAGTATTCAAACTTGTTTTTTGTTTTTTTTTTAATACATTTTTTTCTGATCTATTGTTAGAATAATGTGTTATGTAAGTATATCGGAATTCTTTGCAACTTAATGAGGAAAAAGTTAAAAATATTTTATACCCCTAAAAAAAATATTTTAGGGTACTATTAGGGTATATATATATCAATGTTTTCGCAAATTTCAAATTCTAAGGACTAAATTAGTTGGATAGTAGTTTTTTTTGTAAAAAAAAAAAACATACAGGTTTATTCCTCTTTTTCTAATGATGATTTTGTATACAAGCAACATTTGTTTAAAATTTATATTTATACCATAAAAAATTAAAAACTGAAAAACATTTTTTTTTAGAAAACTGATGCTTGCAACCTCTAAAATTAATTTTAAAAATCTGAAAAAAATAGGAAAATATTATTTTACTCCAAGGAGCATAATGTCAAGAGAAGAACAAAAAAAAACAAAAAAAAAAATTGTTTTGGTACACCCTAATATATATATATATATTATATTATTAAATATGATTTTTGTAAAACATAGTTTTACTCACTTGTGGGGGAAATGAAATCTGTCTTTTTAATATGATCGGTAAACGCTGGACAACGAGAAGCCTGAAACCAAATAACGTGTGAATGTATAAGACACAGGGAGAAATAAAATGCTTCATGCAAGAACAGAGACCCTGGGGTGAAAATTTGGGGGGGTTTTTTGCAAGCAAAGACACCTCTGTGCCGTTTCTTTCATGAAGCGATTCGACAACACTGTACATACATCGTTGTTATCGGTGCTAGCGGCGTTGTGTTTTTTTTTAGGCGAAGACCTGTGATGTTTTTTCCTCGATCGACTCGACCGATGTTGAGGACTATCGGTAAACCGTAACGGCTTGGCGTCCAAACTTTGCGACAGAGGTACACGGAAATGCCTGGTCGGTCCGTGATACGTGTTGTGTTTATGAGCTAAAATTGAAAAAAAAAAGAGCATATTTTATAATTGAAATACTAAATTGTTTTTACAATTAATATACTCCATTTAAAAAAAACATACAATGACTTCGGCTACGTTCATAATAATCGGTTGACGCTGGACACTGTGTCATACGGGATCCAGTGTCGGGCGGCCAATGGTCGGATACGTTGCGACTGCAACGAAACAAACGTTTACGATTAAATTCAATTTAATATAGCTACTAGTGTTGAAAATCAGTTTACCTCGAAGGCGGCGAAGAAACCGACGAGCGGGTCTTGATGTCAACGCCCAATACCAAGCTGGCCAACAGAGATCCGGCTTTGTGCAGCACGTTCTCCACGAGCGAAGTCTTGGTCGAAGCACTGGTCTTAGACGGTGTTCCCGTCGACTGTAATTCATCAGTTTCCGCACAATTGTTATTCCACAAAGTGTTGGTCGAATCGTCATTCACCCAATTGCCTGTCATCGGCGGTCCGTTGTACTCTACGAATGAAAAAAAAATATTTATTAATTAATATATACTTAATACTACTATATGGTAAGATGTGGTCAATAGTTGAGACGATACATTTTAAACGATATTTTTTTTTTTAAGTTTAAAATCCCTAGCCGGATTAATCGATGAAATTATTATTACCGGAGTAAAAGTGTGTTATTTGAAGAAAAAAAAAACTGTAACACATTTCTTATTAGAAGACTAATATATATATATAAGACTATCGCATACTCTCGAGTGTTAATTAAGTTAAATAAACAAAAAAAGTATATTACGTATTAGCCGTTTAATTAAAATACAGGTTTTAGGTGTACACCGACGTTATTAAATTGTTATTAAAAGTAAATTTCTATTTTCTACTCATGCTTAGAATTAATTTAATTTTTATGACTAAAAAGCCAACAAAATACACATGCACAAAAATCTACTAAGCTCAAATTAATGTAGTGTGATTAGGTCTAACTAAATTAGGATAGATTATAAAACAAAATTATATATGTCGTTACATACTTACCAAAAATCAACGAATGCGCAATTATCTAATTATATTATAATTTTATTAAAATTATTTTAAAAAATATCGTTTTCTAAACATTTTTACTCGCTCAACAGTTTTCTTTGTTTATTTGAATATTCCTAGTATAAATCAAACACAACGGCAATCTAAACAACAACTATAAATATGTATATATATTAAACACTAACCGTAGATAATTTGAACGCATTAAAAATTTAAATAATAAAAAAATGTATTCTTAATTCTAGAAAGAGAAAACACTATCATTTATATACTGTATATTAAGATATTATTTAGAATAAACAACACTAGTAAAAGTGAGAAAAATGTGTGTTCATAGCGGCACATATGCCTAACGTTTACGGTAAATTGGTACAAGTTAAAAAATAAAATAATATCAATAATAGTAATAATAATAATAATAGTAATAATAATAATAATAATAATAATAATAAAAATAAAATAATATAATAATAATAATAATAATTAAACAGCCATAGGCTTAAGTCTAAAGACATACAGAATAAACTTTCATGTAGCGTAGTAAATTGGAATGTGCGCTTTTTTTTTTTTAAACAAAAAATAATAATAAACAAATCAACAGTCAAGCGATGCTTTTCAAAGCACGTGAATAATAAGCTAAAAATTTTGTTGGGAAAAAAAATCGTAACAAATTCATAATTAAATGTATATTAATAATTAAATCTTTGAGAAATCATTAAATACCTTATTATAATACCAGAACCGTAGTTTTTTTTAATTTTTATATATATATATATATATATATATATATATATATATATGAAATATTTGTTTTATTATTTTTTTGTACTCCACCACCGAGAAATGATTTGTGTAATGTGGTTAAAAAGTTAAAAAATAGTATGTTTTTGGGATGCAAAAAAAAAATGATTATTATAGACTTATGGTCTCGTCGTCAGCATTGTCTTGGCCGTGGGTACCTATTTCTTGTAACGCGGCAAAGTTGGCACGCACAGACACCGGATGCTTTTCCAGGTCGGGCGCCGACCTGGACCAGCCCTTGTTGGTCGACGTAGCCGGCGATGACGGATACGACGGGCTACCGCATACGATGTGAACGCGTTCGCGTTGGTGGAACGTACTTGGACCCCATGTCTTGCCTTTGACTCCGTCGGCGGGCACTGCAAGCAATTCAGCACAAAAGGACACAAATGCAGATTATAGTTTTATACAACAAACATAATATTTCTCGACACCGACAACAATTATTATCGGAAAACAGATTTAACGAGAAATTTTGTTGGAAAAAATACACATAGAATAAAATCGACAAAGACTAGTATCGAACATAAAAAAAACAAACAATATATACATATAAGTATAACACATGTTCGAATACTATTGATAACGTCCGAATGAAATTCATATACAAATTAATTACAACAATCACAGATCACTTTATCGACCGTCACCTAAGTATACACGTAGTCCGGAACACATACATAACAGATGGATCATAATGAGCGTACCTTTCGACAGACGCGTCCAGACATACAGTCGACGGCCTACATGACAGTATATGTATGTGCATATCTTCGAAATCAAATAATTTAAAACAGCCGATTAATTTTCAATTGCGTTAATCGTACTTGCCAATCTTATCAACTACTCAGATTTATTTGCCAAATATTTAAAATTAAACTGTACCACCATCAGTTGCAAAAATTCAGTAAACCTGCAATATTGCAATACGTACAATTCAACATTAATGCGTTGACTTGTTGTCCGTTACATTTTTAGATCATATTATTGTAGTTAAATTTTACTGTGCAATATAAAGTATTAATTTAAAAAAAAAAAAAAATACTCATACACAGATGCGTTTTAATTAATTTGCAAAAAATACTACTAAAAGAAAAAAAAAATTATGTTTATTAACTATTATTTAATGACTACTGCTTAGGGATGGAGCTGAAAGCAGAATATTATATTATCCAGATACATTCAGTTTTTTAATTCATGTCCAATAATCATATAAAAAAATTATATTCAATTTACCAAAAGAAAAACGACACATCGGCTTGGATAAACGATGTTTGTTGTTTGGCAGCTGAAACCGGCCGATTTTTCTAGAGGACTGCCAATAAAAATTGTATATTTTTAATAGTATTCTCAAAGTTGAGATATGTTTATGTCTTATAAAATTAAAAATTCAGATAATTTTTCACTAATAAAATCTGCACGTTCTCATCACTTAAATGGTTTTGCTAAACACATTTGACGCATCTAGTATATTATAAAAAAAAAAAAAAAAACCCTATAAGCTATAACCATATAAACTATAATAGTGCAGTTTTTAATTTTATAAAAAAAAAAAACAAGTCAAATAAACGGTGCAAATTTTTTTTTAAAAATTGAACTCCTTCAAATCTATTATTACACCTTACTTCCATAAATAATTATTCCTAAAAAAGTTTAAAAATGCAATTAATACGAACAAGACATCCAAAGAAAAAAAGAAAAAATGTGTAAACCTACAAAACGCACTACGATACAGTTTTGATCTAAAACTAAAACGCAAAATATTCGGACCAACAACTCCTATAAATATTACTATTACTAATAAGTAACGACTTCAAACTACTCGTAATAAATATTATATAATAAGGTCATACAAAGCAAGAAGTTTGCTACTTACGAACAAAAGCTCTCAGTCTACGAGTGTTTGGAGACCCCGGCGGACTGTTAGGGCCAGAGGTATCGCAATTTTTTCTATCCCCAGTGTGTTGTACGGTTATTGTATGTCGAAAATCTAGTGGGCAAAAAAACAAGAAAAATAGCGATAAACAACAATACGACATTAATCTTTTTTTTTTCTTTAATTTAAACGTATTCAGAAGAAGGGTATTTACCAGACGGTGAGCTAATGGGCAATTGGTTTGATTTGGTTAACATTTTCAACAACCTGGATTGTTTAAAATGGCCTCGCCGTTTGTTCGGAGTCGGTATCGGTGAGGCCTGTTGCTGCTGCATAATAATATTCAATTCCCATTTAAGTAGTTCCATTTCGCGTGCCTCCAAGTCACGTTCTCTTTGTTTTAAGTGTTTTTCGGCGATTTGTTGCTGTACTTGAGCACGAGTCAATTCTTCCTCACGGCATCTCAGTTCCTAACGATAAGCCAGCAATAAATTAATACACAGTTCGAACGTTTTGACTATAGTTTTTACATCGACTTACTTCTTCTTTAGAATCAAAAGCCTTAATGAAAGCATTTAAAAAAAAAACACGTAATTTGATTTATTAAATTTAGCAAAGCGGTTAGTCGTAGTGATATTGTTTAAGTCAAACGTGTAATCAATTACCTTTTCTTTCATTCGCAAATCATTTAGTACTTCTTCGATTTCGACTTTCCACACGTCTTGTAATGTATGAAAAGACTCGTGAGGCGCTTGGGTAAAAGCCGAGTGTACAATATCGTCTAACGATTTTAGAATGTCTTCGAAACACGGTCTCCTGTGGGAGTCAGAATCCCAACAAGCTGAAAAAATAAAAATAAAAGCAAGTATATTGCATAAAAATGTTAAAATACACTGCGAGGGAAGAATACAACAACAAGCGGTCAAGGAACATACCTTCCATTAGTTCTCTAAAAGGTTGTGGACAAGTAGACGGTATCGGAAGTGTAAGTTTGTTAACCGCAACTCCATACGCCACAGCCAGTGCATCAATTCCTTTATAAGGTGTTTCGCCAGTAAGCAATTCCCAGAGTAAGACACCGTAACTAATGAAAAACGATGAAAAATTTTAAATAGGTTTTTAAAACATGTTCGATAAGAAGCACACCATTGAAAATAATAACAATGATATGTACGTATTTCTACTAAAATTTAATCTATCTAATTGAATACAAACAATGTGTGTTACAGTTTAACGAAATAATGATTCAAACTTACCTCCAGACATCGCTAGCTTTAGAAAAAGTTGACGTTTTTATAACTTCAGGAGCCATCCAAGCATATGTACCAGCAGCCGACATATTAGTTGTTTTATACACTTCTCTCGCCAGGCCGAAATCGGTGATTTTTAACGTTTTAAATTGAAAATCATTATTTTCAATCGGTTCGTTGAGTAGTACTGAAAATAAAAATAACACACTATGAAAATACTATCAAACTTATACAGATTTCTATGATGATGATTTTATGACAGAGTAGGTCTATACTATTTATATTTTTTTTATTGAACTGTAAAAATGGATACAAAATTTGTATTAAAACGTGCATGTATTTAATATATTGTGGTGCTACGACAGTAGATGATATTACGTTATCGATGGTTACACGACAAAAGGGTCTAAGCGACATTTTTCGTAGTTTTCCCGAGAAAAACTGAATAAAACCTAATATTGTATAATATATTATTAACCAATCAATCCTAACAGTGTTGTTTAGACCGCCAAATCTATACTGTCTGAGCCGAAATTGGAAATTAAAGACACGAAACGTGAAAACAAAATTGTCCTCTAGACTCTATTGTTTGAGCAAAAAAAAGCATTTTACTGAAAACTCAAAATTTTAATTGTTAGTTAAAATGATGGCCACAGTTGTTTTTGCGCATGCGCATGAAGCCATGTCCTTTGACCCAAAGTGTCTCTTGTGGACCCTTTTGCCACGTAACCTATCGATAATCCAACTGTTGACTTGATAATCTTAAAACTAAGAAACAAATTACATGTTTATCTTCACCTTAGAAATATAATATAAAAATGTTAACAAAATTACATTCATTAGTATCATTAACAAAATGATTAAAATTGGCACAAATCAAACAAACACACACAAGAAGAATTTAAATAATTAAAAATAATAAGTATAAATGTTTAACGTTAAGTGAAACTTAAAAATAAAACAAAATTTCACTTAATGTTTAACATTTACAATGATTTTTATGTATTTAAATTTTTTTATGCATTTTTATATTATATTTTTTAGATAATAGATCGCTTAATTCTAATTTTAAATCTTACCATTTGATGATTTTAAATCTCGATGAATCAAAGATATTGGAGCACCATTATGTAGATAGTTCATTCCTCTAGCTATTTGAATAGCCCAATCAACCAACACGTCAGGCCGTATCTTTCTTCCCATTAATACACGATTCAACGAGCCTCCTCTTGCGTATTCCATAACTAAACATAAATTTGGCACTTGCAGGCATACGCCTAACATGGATACGATATTTTCATGTTCCAATAACCAAAAAAGATTAGCTTCGTGCTTGACATTCTTCACTGTTTCACTAATATCTTCATCAGGATCTTGACGGGCAGCTTTTACGGCGACTTCTTTGTTGTTCCAATAGCCACGATAAACTTTTCCAAAGCCACCAACCCCAATTACTTCCTCAAGTTCGAGTTCACTGAAGTCAATTTCAGTAATATGGACATTCTCAACGACAGTAGACACATTTTCCAGTATAATTTTTTCAGTCACAAAATTTGCTGGGAATATGCCTACCTTGGCACCTAGTTTACCTGTCCACCATCCTTCGTCCCCTGATATCTTAGCATCGGTTGAAAGTACTTCTACAATATCACCTCGTTTCAAGCTTAATTCGTCTTCACCTTGAGCTTCATAATTATAAATCGCCGTCCACAAGAGCCGATTAGCCGCTTGCTGTGGAACATATTTATTTGGATAAAATGAAGAGGTATTCACATACGTTGTGTTCGGGCTGTGAAATTTTGAACTTGACGGTGAGTAGGGGTTGCGTAAGTTAGTGTTGACAAAACCTGGGCCAAGGTGTTCCATGGACGCCAATGCCGGAGGCATTCGTTACAGTGGCTACCTAATTTCTATACCACTCTGACGGTGAAGCAGAACTTTAATCATTATTTGTTGTTCAACTTTGAACGCAAATTAAATCTAACACATTTTTATTGGCTTATCAGTGTGTGTACAATCACTCGAGTTCTCAAATTTTGTTGATGCTGCTGAAAAATAATTAACAAAAAAAAAATAGCTCTGATGAAAACACACTAGTATATTATTAAATACAAACTTACGAACGTGATTAGAAAATTTGAACACTTATAAAAAATATTTTAATTAATATTAAATAATTAAAATAATAAAAATAATTTATTTCGCTGTTCCGTTCTCGATAATTGTCATTAATCTCCGTCGCCATTTTGAATTTTAAAATCATGTTATCTCTTAAATAGGCCAAGGACGTTCTACAATACAATGCACTTACAACGTCTTTGGTCCACTTTCAAATTGAATTTTCGTTTGTTGTTGTTTTAAAAATTGATGGCAATTAAATATATTTTGTTTAAATCAATGTGGAATCAATCCGTCTCGGTTCAAATGTTGAACAACGATAATAATTGCAATTTTTTTAATTTATATATTATTTCATTTTGGTCAGGTACCGACTTGGAATTCTGTCTTCTGAAGTTAGTATCAACTATCAGTGGAAATGTGCGATATTAGGATAATAATATTATGTTTTCTGTGATTTGCCTAAAATCTCTAAAGTTATACGTCATAACTTGAAGAAAAACAATAACAGGATTATTGAAACCTTCGAGTATTATTCGACACTCGATTTGCTACAATTAATATATTTTTGAAGTATATTATTTGAAAAGATTTAATCAATTAATTGTTATGGACAACGCCGTCATCAAATCTTTAGATCCGTTTTATGAAGCTATACAAAATTTGCGAAAACATAATTATGAAAAATGCATTGAAAATTGTACCAATATATTATTGAAAAATCCCTACGATGAAGTGAGTATTGCTTCTGTATGTTATTTATGATTTAGTTAAACGGCCCTTTTCACAAATGACCTTGTATAAAATCTAGTTATTGTTCACAAAATCATTCTATAAAATTTCTATTATAATATGTTGTTTACTCGTATAATTGAACAAAACCAGTATTTCATTATACTAAGTAAATATTATAATAAACACTGCATTTCTACTCATCGACATCAAATTATACATATTTTATATTAAATTTACAAATTTTGTTATGAAACGAGCAATTTTATTTTAAAAAATTATGTAATTTATTTATTTAGTGGAAAAAATTCAAATGTGTTGAGTTTCTTTTTACAATTCGTGATTAAAACCTATTCTTAAAAGAGTAACAATAAATTCACATCATTATTGTCGTTACGAGTACAATTTTTATCTACTGATAGTTTCAAAATAAGCTACCTATTCATAATAAATTGATAATAATTTTATAACTCCACTCTTGTGTATAGGCTACTTGGGCTCTAAAAATGCGTGCCTTAACTGAGCAAGTATCTGTAGATGATATAGAAATGGAAGAAGAAGGAATCGCCGATTCCTATTTTAATTCTGACGCTATTGCTGAAAATGCTAGGGTCGGTACATCGCTGAGAACAGCGCCCAACACTAGTAATCAGAGGTAATAAATTATTTATAGACTATCAAGCAGTTACAGTTATTATTTAATCGTAATAATATCTATGTGTTTAGACCAAGAACAATGGGCGGTCGACCATTGAGTGGTGTAGTTCGCCCTTCTACTTCATCCGCTGCTGGAAAAGATTTACAAAAGGCCTTAAAAACCCCACGCACTGTTGGTACTTCGAGACCTCTGACTTCTCAATCGGCCAGAAATGTACGTCTTGGAACGGCATCCATTGTGTCTCAAACGGACGGGCCTTTCATCAATATATCACGTTTGAATTTTTCTAAATATGCGTCTGATAAGCAGTTATCGAAATTCCTATTCAACTATATATATTATCAACAAAACGACATTAGAAATGTAAGAATATTACGATATATAATAATTTTATAAAATAACATATAACAATAATATGATCTTCGTTGGTCGTATTCAGGCACTGGATTTTGCTGTGGTAGCGACAAAGTGCTCGAACTTTGAGGATCCTTGGTGGAAAGTACAATTAGGTAAATGTTATGTTGTTCTCGGTTTATTGAGGGACGGCGAATTACAATTTCGATCTGCATTACAACACGGGTCTAATATTGAACTGTTTTTGCGCCTATCGCGATTGTTTATTCGACTTGATCAACCTTTAAACTCTTTGGACATTTGTCAGCGAGCGTTAACTTGGTTTCCGCAGGAAGTTACTCTACTTATGGAAATGGCTCGGTATAATAAAAACTTGTCTCCTACTAAAAGCGTATTTGATTTTTCACACCACGTTTGGATAATGATCACCTTTACTTTTGATTAAATTACAAAACAAATAATTGTGTCGCTTTATTTTTTTGGAAATATTCACTGTTTATTAGAATCGCACTTGATATTAATGTTGTTATAAGTGCAATTTAGTTGAGCTCTTCACGTCATACCGTCACGAATTTTGTTTCCGTTTTAATATTATCGATTGTATTGTTTATGTAGTATAATAATATTTAAATTTCTTGAACTGAAATCATTGTTTTTTTTTGTTTGTAGAATATTCGAAGGATTAAATAATATACCAATGTCGGTGAAATACTACAGAGAAACCCTAGATTTAGATGCTACAGATATGGAGTCTATTGCTTGTATAGGACTACATCACTTTTATTCAGATCAACCCGAAGTGTCGCTGAGATATTATAGGTACTATATACCTACCATTTTATTTTTTACAAGTGTTGTCATATTTTTTTTAATGAAAATCTTTGCTGATTTTAGGAGATTGCTTCAAATGGGGTTGTACAACGCCGAACTGTTTAACAACTTGGGCCTGTGTTCTTTTTACGCTCAACAATTTGATGTGGTCATTGTATGCTTTGAAAACGCTCTGAGACTTGCGTCCGACGACGAGGCAGCAGACGTGTGGTACAATATTAGTCACATAGCCATAGTGCGTATATCCGATTTATCCGATTTCACATCACGTAAATTGCAAATCTTATCGGTGCACTATTATTATTATAGGGGTTTGGAGATTTGGACGTAGCCGAACACAGTTTGCATTTGGCGTTGTCCGTGAATAGCTCTCACGCTGCAGCTCTCAACAACCTCGCCGTGCTGCAGTGGCAAAAAAACGACACATCCAAAACCGAATCGCTGTTGAGCTCGGCCATAGCAGCCGAAGACCATCTTTACGAACCGTACTATAACAAAGCCTTGCTGGCCGAAGAGGTATTAAATAGCATTCATTCGATTTCTTCTTAAAAAAAAAACTTATTACGTACGAAATTAACGATGATGGTAGACAATAGTGTTACGAAGAAGTTATAACGAGATACGATCGCTATTTAAAATAATGGTAATTTTCAGGAAGGTGATCACCAATCGAGTTACGCCATGGTGAAGAAATCGCTGGAAATATACCCCGACCACTACAACTCCAGAGAAATTTTGAATCGGTTGAAAAAATATTTTTCTAGTTTTTAATGCAACGTCATATTATATTATGTAATTTATTTTTTATATATGATTTATATTATAGTAACTTAAGTGTACTAATTATTGCTCTGTTTAAATCATGTTGTTAACTCGGAACACATATTATTATGATGAAATGCAATACAGCCGTTTTATTATAATATAATATTTAATAATATGTATATTTTACAAAAGGCACAAAATCACCCATTCCCAACTCCCACATCGGCTGAAATATTCATACGCATTGTGTGTTAAATTGTAATTTTTTGTAAAATAAATATATTTAGATTTTTTTGTACTTGACACAAAACAAGAAAACTTTAATAAATCGTATCGATTTAATGAGAAAAATTTTAATTGTTGTGGATCAAAACTATTTAAACGATATTTATGTCCGAGATGGATTATAACTGTTTTAATATTAATTTTGAAATTATCTATTGGAGAATGATTTTTATTATTATTAATTTGTCAGGTGCCGAGACGATCGATTAAAATCCAATGTTGATTCCCTTTTTGGCCGCTACTGGAAGAAATTCTCCTTGCAAGTACGGATTGAAAGCCTTAATCAACACAAACAATCATTGCGTTATTATATTTTTCTACATAGCGGTTACGGTTTATATTGTGTATAATGTGTACGGTGGTTTTATCGTTTTAACTCACCTTTTTCACGTGGAATTTTTTCGCTACCAAATTTTTATGTTCGTCTTCCACCTTTGGGGGGAAAATTAAAAACAAAATTAATTTGTTTATTAACATTACAAGACATTGGCCAATGTTATTATTACTTGAAACTTCCTAACCAATTCGTCTACGTCCAAATTGTTTTTGTTGGCTGCGTTTGACTTCCCGCAATCGAACATGTGTTCCGAATCGCACATGCATTCCTGTGATTCCTGATAGTCACGGCTAAAGGCCGCTGTATTTTCAAAGTCGGTTATGCAACCGTCTTCCTCTGCAAAAGCAACGTGTAATATGTTTTTCATCGATAAATAAATCTTTCAAAAAAAAATCCAGAACGGTGGGTGGGGGAGGGGATCCCAGATCTATATTATTGTGTATTACTTAGAATTAATGTTTTTTTCAAAAATATGTATTTTTAAAAGTATGGGGGGGGGGAAAGCGCTATTTATTAAGGGGCAAAAATTAGGCAATATTTGACCGAAAATTCATCCGGTAGAGGTTTTTTTTTTAAATATTAGCCGACTAATTTAAAGGTGGAAAAAACATTTGAGTTTTTCTAGCTATAAAGGTTACATTTTTTAGATATCCCCTGATTCATGCTTTAGTCATTTTTTTTTTTTTTGGTGTTTCTATCTAATCATAACGGGAAGGGATGAGTTTGTTTAATTTTTGGCGCACCAATGTGCTAAGGTTGCTAGTAAACATATCAAGTTTCTGGCTAATATTTTAGTGTTTTCTTAATATCTGGCCTGAAAAAATCCACAGGAATACGACCTCTTAAATTATTGAATTTATTTTTAGTTATAGACGGACCGTTGTGAATCATAGAGTAATAATATAAAGAGATGAAGTAACATAATATGCTAGCTTGTATGCAAGAGCGAAGTAAAAAGTAGGACTAAAACCAGTATGACCACATAAAGGGCCACATCAATTCTTTATTGTCGAACAAATAAAACAACTAGGCATTGTTGTTAATTAATACAAATAAATAGCTAAAACTTATATAGAAATTAATAATATTAAATTCAATATTTTTTATCGAATTTAAAAACAATATTTTTTTTCGAAATACTGTTATCATTGATATCTTATCACCACAACATATTGAACGATAATTATTTTCTTCTATCTTGGGCAGCCTGACCTTAGTCCTACTTTTTGCAACACATTAAAAGAACTACTGTAGCAGCCACCCCCCGTTGTGAATACAACATATATGCCCCCAACGCCATTGCCACCCCCAACCCCATCTCTTATCTCTTATCAGATAAGAGCGTATCAAATTTTCCGTTATTAACACTTGTCTGGGTTATGTGTGCCAGAGCTAAGACGTGAAAAATATGTCAAATAATACAACCGGTACCTGTATAACCTACTGGACATGGATTGGGCGGGTTACAGTATGCAGGCAACGTGGAATCTGTCTTGACTTCGTTCCTGTTCTTAATCGGGTTGTCGGGGTTCAAGGTCTGAACTCCTTCGCCCGCGCCGCCTGAAATTTGAAAAAACACCTAGTCAGGTACCATCAAATAGGTATATGTTTACAAAAAAAATTGTCGTTCCACTCACCGCTAACGTAGTGAGCTCCCCACAAAGAACTGTGTTGTAAGTATTCGTTGTCCCGGATCGAAGGCACAATGTTGGTGTCGTCGACTTCGTCTTCTTCGTAGTCTGCGGTGTGCAAAGGGCCTTGTTCCTCCGTTGTCTTCATCCGGCCGAACTGAACGTATTTGTTGTCTATTTCCGATTTGGCGATGTCTTTTTCTAATTGGTCAATGACGTTTTCCAGCAGTTTAGTTCGCATGTACTCAGAGTCCTGAAAACAAAAAAAAAAAAACAAAAAAGATGACGTAGGTTACTCCACGTTATACACGTCATTACTATTAATTGTTGAATTTTCATAATTAAAACAGTATTACTTGAAAAAAAACATTTTGAGTTTCAATAACGTTCATTTACTTTTCAATTTTCAAAACGACAAAAAAATTCAAATTTAACTGATATTCGAGCTAAGCCCCCTCCCCCCTAGGTACACCACTGAGCCTGAGGCTGTAAAAAAAAATATAATCATTAAACTTTTCACGATTACAATTGTAATGATAACAATTATTACTTGATTACAGACGTAATCATACCTATACATGATTATGATTATGATTATGATTACATTAATCTGACACTATGATTATTGATTGCAATTATTTATCGTAATCATTAATCAGATTACAATTTGCCCAACATTGACGCTGAAAGTGATCACTTTCAAAGTGTCCATTTTTCCTTAACATAAAAAAAAGGTTGACTGTACATTTTTTGAGAAAATTGTATAAATAGAGCTCCATTCTAGATCTATTTTCAGACCTCAAGAGTCCTAAAACTATACAAAAAAAAAAAAGCGAAACAAAGAAAAAGTTTCCACCCCATAGCTGCTGGTAGGTATTATACAGAATAACCCTGTGAGAATAGCCCTTCCCCTCACCCATACATTATTTCCAGATACGCGCCTGGTAGTGTCGTTATATAGATGTACAATTTTGGTACAAAATGGGCTAAGACGCATATGCTTAGACTTGACCTCTGACAAAAATGAGAGTTTGTTAAGTTTCAGAAGATTTGATTTAGTTTTTTTTTAAGGTGAGAAAAAGTAAAAACGACATTTTCCGGTCCAAATTTATAACCATAATAAACAAACAAACATGTCAATTGATATCTTATTAATTACACTATTTGATTGCCTTTACTCGTTCGAATGGACAGTTTTTCTCCTTCAGTGACGATATTGAGAAGAGTAAATTTACACTGACCACCGACTTGAGTCAAATTCTCTCAAATTCTCTCTCACTTTCTCATAATCTATTGGTTTACTCACTTTTGTACTTGCGGAGAACTTGCCATACGCGATGACGCAGACGGGCACCAATGTTATACACAGTACTGTAATAACGTTCGTCGCCATAATAGTGAAGTTTTTCGTAAGCCTGCGGTGCACAACAAACAATAGAAAAATACATATTAAACAATTGGTAATATCATCGAGTCCGAACAACGCGGGTAAGTATAATACACGCCCATATGGGGGTCGGTTATCATATATTATTTTGACGAGTACACAATACACACATAGCTGTTGTCATATTGTTGTACAAAGCCCCGACGTGGGTTTGTACGTACACGGCGGTTTTGTTTCACTTTGCAGACGTTTTTTTTATTTTCTCGACAAACCCGCGTTTATAAATAATTATTCTCATTAATTACCTTTTTGTATGATATGACCCGCATAAATGGCCTGTGTCCACTGCACTCCACAGGTAGACGACGACGACGACGACGACGGCGATGTGGTCGCCAGTGGGGGCGCCGATATCGCCGTGGTCGATCAATAGGCGTGTTGCGGTGTACGCGAACCCGAGTGGAAAAAGGGCCACGCGACGGGTACGATTGGACGGCGCGGGGTACGCGCGCAAGCGCTTCGGCCAAAGTGCCAAAAAGCGCCACCGCAGGATTCACCCCTACGACCAGGCCTATACTGTTACCAAAAAAGGGGTGAAAAATTTAAAGTTTACATTTTTCATATATAATCTTTTATATTGTAAGTTTTTTTGTAATTTAAATTTGGTTCAATATAATTAGTGTGTGACATACATTTCACAATACTCAATGGCTTTATTGAACGGCCTATTGATTTATTTTAAGCATATTTTTCTCAATTCCATTGATTTTTGTGACGACACTCGATATTACTGTGTAAATTATTTCAATTCAATTATGACCACTAGAAACCGTAAAAATATTCCAAATTAGTTCTTTATCGTTTTGACGTGCATAACCTTATAACAGCTCTAATCTGACCTTTGACTACGGATCAAGCCGTCGTTGATCCTTCTTTTTACAAAATCCTGTATAACTAGAGGCCATTGTTTAGGAGGACACGGTGTGACATAATATTTATGTGTCCTTTCTCTGAAAATGGCAAGTGTCAACTGTTGTTGTCGTCCACAGTGAGAAATATAGCTGTACTTTGGCCTTTTCCTGGATCCCTCGCTTTATAACAGAGCTTTGAACAAGAATGGAACCTGACCCTTATACAACCAGAGAACAAATTTCTAATGTCCAAGGCAATAGTTAAATTTGAAATACATTTTTAAGATAACACACAAACGATAGACCTCGTGAATTCATAATATAAATATTAAAAATATTCAAGTGACAATTTTTTTATAATAAAAAAGATGATGTAAACTTGGCATTTCAGAATTGTTTTTTACCAGCTTATAGTAGGTATAATTATTTGCTAGGTAAAAATAATAGAATATGGAATTAATTTTTGCTATATAATTGAAAAAATGTGTACAACAAACGAGAATACAAAAATTAATCAAACATTGATCATTTTTATTATATTGATTGGCGTCAGACACAATACAAATTAGTACAATTATAGTTTGTTAAATAGATAATTTTGGACATTTTTTTAATTAACACGGTACTTAATATAAATAATAATTATTGCTATTATAAAGTATAACTATATAGTGCACTGGCAACGTAAGCACAGAATAACCAGAAGGGAAACCTAGGCCGGGACTGATAACCACCCCGGACATTTTAATTTTGCGGATTATGTATAATTATAACGCTTTTTCCTGGAATGATCTATAGTCCATTTACCTAAATGTGATTTACAGCATCAAAAACAATATGGCAGTCTTTTTTGGCCTTTGGGCGGATCATAAAAAAAATCTTTTGTAATTTTTTCATAAAGTTTCCCATCTGGTTATTCTGTGCCATCATATCATATTATGAGGTAACCATTGATTGATATCTATGTGGTTAATAATTGATAAGTGAACACTGATAATAAGTGATAAGAATTGAAAGAAGCCGACTGTGTGATAACAGAACATTATTTTCTCATGCTGCACAAACGAAATTTTAAAATTATTTTATAATCGATTATGCAAAAGTATGTTATACTTATATTGTTTATTTACAATAACTTCAGTCGTGGTTAAATAGTTGTTTTATATTTCTTCGGCATGAAGGTAGTCGTTCAACGGGTTTTAAAAGCCAAAGTCTCAGGTTTGTGTTTCACCTATTCAAATATAGATCTACACGTCATTACAGCAATGCATAACAATGTTTTTAACTGATCATTTTCAGTGGATGGCCAAGAAGTAAATTCAATCACCAAAGGCCTGTGTTTATTAGTTGGTTTGCACAAATCCGATCAACAAAGTGATATTAATTATATGTAATAGCAAAATTAAAAGTACACCTAATGATAAATACTATGTATTTAGGTTGTGTTAAATGGAACAATTGATACAAATATTTTTCCTACAGGGTACAAAAGATTTTAAAGTTAAGACTGTTTGATAAAGATGAAAAAAAGTGGCACTCGAGCGTGGTAGACATGGGCTATGAAATATTATCTATTAGTCAATTTACATTGTGCTATAAACTGAAAGGAAATAAACTAGACTTTCATTATGCCATGCCTGGTGACGCCGCTCGACAAAATTATCAGTATTTCTTGGAATCTCTAAAGAAATCCTACGATGAAACAAAAATCAAAGGTAAGAACTTGACTAACCTTTAAATTGAGATGATAAAATTAAAAAAAATATGATAAAATGACTAATTTAACTGTGTTGGATAATTTATGGTGTTTTATTTGATTGAAGATGGCGTTTTCGGCGGTAAAATGGAAGTTGAAATTGTAAATGATGGACCGGTAACCGTGCAGCTGGAAACTAGTGAAAAAACTATTTCAGAACAATCTCGTGAATGCCAAGACGATGTTTAGGCACTGAAAACTACTAGTTAATTCTAGTACAATTTTTTTTTGTGATTACTCGTAAATTTTAGAGTATAATGAAATGTTTTGTCGAGTTATTTATTGTTTTAGTGATAATACATTGTATGCATTTAACTATAAAAATTTCTATTATATAATTTAAGAACCATAAAGTTTTATATTGAAATTTGTTGAGGCGGGCATTGAATATGATAGTTAACTTACCTACACATAAAACGTTTCAGGTAAAATACTTAAACTTTATTGATAAGATATATTTATTACTATAAACAAATTAAAGTCTGTTATGTGTTATCTCAACTCAAGGTGTAGTTTTTATGTTTAAAACATTGTGTCTTAATAATACGGGTTCACTAAAATTAATTAATTTGCATGCCAGTAAGTGTTGACGTACATTTAATATTCTTTGTGTATTCTACTTAAATACGTTAGTACAGGTAGACAACAGGTAAACATTAGCGTAACCTTGTTCTCGGTCGGAAACGTTCCACTCGAGGTTGAAAACATAATAAGCTGTTTAATTATCAAAAAAAAAATCAATGATGTATTGTACTTAGTTCCTTTTAAAATATTCATATTTACATTGGGAAAATACAGCCGTGTTAACACGCGTTACTTATATAATTTTACTACTCAATTTACGACAAAGGCAAAGCGGGTTCTTGGCTTAAAATATAATATATTATTAAAATAAAAATAATTTCAATGGTCATCAATGTATCCTTATTTTTGTTCACAGCGTAAATAATACAACGGGGTTAGCATACAAGAATGTTTACTAAACTAAAAATTAAAGTGTCTACGGGTAAAACCGCTTGACAGGGTACGGCTAATAACGCACGCTGTTAAAAATTTCAAATTCGCTCATTACATTTTGCTAGTTATGCAGGTAACAAACTTTACCACACACATATTTAAACGTATGATTAAAATTATAATTTACAGTAGACACTAAATTTAGTACAATGTGTAATAGATTTGTAATTTATTCCTGAGTGATACAATGTAATGCCTGAGTACATATAAAATTAGGTACTGTTACATTTTATAGTGTTTACACATTATGAAAAAAAAAAAAAAATTGTATTTACAGTACTTGAATTCACTGCTAAGCTCTATTACTATAATATGAAGCTCAGGGCTCTATTTATGTCAAGTGAATGACATCTAAGCCTAAGTTTACATTGGACTTAACAAATTTTGAAAATTCCGTGCAACGCAATTATTGCGCCTAAAACGGACACGAGCAACGGGCCTGCTCTGCTCGCCGAATTCGTCAAGTTGGTCGTGTTCATTGGGACGAAAGTGTTCTGCAGCGCGAACGCGGTCGTGCCGCAGTACCTTTTGTATATTTTCACGTTGAGCTTTTTCGGTTCCGACCCGTCGAGAAAGCTGCGGAAAGCCGACGTGATTATCCACAAGAAGCCGTGCGTGTCGAACGCCATGCTGGTGATCCACTCGAGCCGCAGGTCTTGTATGTACAGCTCCCTGACGGCGAAGCTTTGCTTGAGCGTGTTCCACATGACCACCTTGCGGGGCATGGCCAAGTACAGGTTGCCGGCCGTGTCCAGCGTCATGGCGGTGGACTTGTCCGACTTGGCGCCCTGGTCCTTGACGTGCCGGCTGACGTCGTCCAGCAGCGGCGCGTCGAACACGCTCATCGGTATCGTGTACAGCCTGTCCAGCTGCACCGTGGTGAAGTACAGCAGGCTATCGATGGCCGACACGGTCAGCTGCGCCTCGTCGTAGCCCTTCTTGCCGTACAGCAGCTTGCAGCTGAACTTCTGGTACACGCCCGTCTGGAAGTTGTACGAGATAAAGCCGGGGTCGGGCCCCAGGTCGGTAACGACGGCCACCATCGTCTTCAGGTCGACGGTGAGACCGCTGAGCACGCTCTGCACGGTGTACATGGTGCTGGGCAGCACCGACGACCGGACGATCCACCCCGTGCTCAGATCGATGACCACCAGCTTGGGGTCGCACGTGTGGTTGGCCAGGTACATGTCGTACACCTTGCCCACGTCCAGCGCCCAGAGCCGGCCCACGTGGTCCACCTCGATGTCCTTGACGTTCTGCAGCCCGAAGCAGACGCCCACCTGCTGCATGCCCAGCAACGGGAACGGCTGGATGGCGCCGCGCGAGCTCCGGCACAACGTGGCCGGCACGCCGGGCCTGAACCGCGGCACGGCCATGTACAGCGTGTTGTTCCATATCCTGAGCCTGTGCACGAGGTTGTTCTCGGGTATGTACGACTCCAGCCTGGACAGGTCTTGGTCGCGGAGCGTCAGGTCGATGTTTTCCCAATGGTACACCGCCCTGAGCTCGGCCGAACAACACACGGTCAGGTACAGAACACCCGCGGCCGCGAACAGTGTTGACGACATGGCGTATGGCGATCGCGCGACTGGCCAACGTAGGCCAACGTATAACACTCGAATGTCGTTGCGACCAACGGCGGACAGCGCACACCTCCGTCGTTTGTTTGGTTTTTTTTTTTTTTTTATAAAACAATCGTTTGCCAAAACGTGTAAGACGTAATTTTAAAAAGCGTACATGTATGTTAATTTCCAATTATTCGTCGCCGATCACCTTGGACGATCATCATCATCACACACGGTGTACCTATTCAATGTCACACACTGGCTGTGGCCGTGCAAATGCCAAACAACGGTGATTATTGTTCGACACAATTTGCACAACAATGCTATTGATCAGCCGAAAAAAAAAAAAACATATTCCTGTAAATCGGTCAACTTGAAATCTGTCACAGTCGTTTAAAACGGTTTACCGCGGTGGTCGAGTAAAATGTATTGTTGTAAATATACATTATTGTTTTAATGGTTTTTCAAAGTACAAGCCAAACAATTTGTCAGGAAAAAATAATAATGAAACCACCATTTACGCCTAACTTTTAACTTGGATCTAACGCTTTATGTGGAAAAACACTGGCAAACAATCGACAAGAACATTTACAAGTATTGGCAAAAAAAAAAAACAGGAAACCAAGGTGTACGCGCATCAAGTAAATTGCCAAACAATTATGAGTTTTGGTAAGTCGCATTAACTGATTTAAATTTCATCCCAGAAATAAGTCTGTTGATAAATCATCACAATAATGATTGGCTAAAGTAGAAGTTGCACCGTCAAGTTGACTTTCATTCGTTGAATACATACAGAGTGCTATTAATGGCTTAACAATATCAACAAGTTGTTTTAGTTGTTCGGTAATTATGTCAAGGGTAGGTACGTGTCATTATCGCTCTTAACTTGAAATTCGTTTAAAGATTTATTTTGAAAAAGTCCAACAGCTTTCATTAAGTCAATATCTGGTTGTTGTAGTGATACAATTTGTAAACAATAAAGTATCAAATAAGCTTGACCTGATGCAAAATTTATATAATTATATACTTGTATTATTTAATATACATAGTAAATATACTCAAATATGCCCAAACAACACAAATGTTCAAATATTGTATTCAAATATATTTATAAACAAAGATTTTCTCATTTTAGACTAGTATATATAAGTTATCTACAACACATTTTATACATTTAACATAAAAAAAAAGAAAAAAAAAGCTATTTTAAAATTAACTATGATTAGTTTTGAAGACTTTAATAAAATATGATTAGTCATTATTATAAAATCAGGAAACAAAATTGATGATTAGACTGTTTTATTTAACTTTGAAATATTTTAATTATTGACCAAGATTTAATAAAAAAAAAACTTGTTCGGCTTAAGTAATTTATCAGCTTTGACGGAATTTTATTTTCCGAAATGATTATGAACAAGTTTATTTTTAAAAATCATTGCCAGCAGTAATATAAACACATTTAATATTAATCGTTTGTCGAGTCAAAACTTATTGTTATCAACATAACGGATTTTAAATTTGTATTTCATTATTTCCATTCGGTTTGGTTTTTACATTTTTTTTGAACATGTTATATCCCTAGTTGTTTTAGAATAATTGTTCGAACATTCTTTACTTATATTTCAAAAAGTGTAAAACTTTAATAACTTTGAAAATAGTAATTATCCAAAACTAATTGTCGACCAGTAAACGTTTTCTGCAAATTCATCTCAATTTAAAAAGGGCCTAATAATTGGTATTTTATAAACCAAGTACAACAGCTGTGCTGTAAAAAAGTGTTGTGGAAATGCTACTTTTAAATGCTGTAATGTTCTCAAACGGTGACAAATCGGGCAAAATCACAAAGTTCATAAACGTAGGTACCGCAAAAGAAATAGTTTTCTGTGTGCCCGGAAAAAAAACCAAAATTTTGAAATCGGGCCCTAGTTCTGATAGGTTGTGTTTGTTTGTTCCATGGACATATAATATAGTATCCGGCCAGACGGTCTCCCGTACACCACCACGACCACACACCGTAGGGGCGAAAGCGCTTTTGTCCACCGTAGGGGTGAAAATCAATACCGGCAGCGCTCGGGCAAAGCTGCCGCAGTCGCGGGGCCACGGTGGTGCTGCTGCTGCGCTTCGCCCGACTGAATTGGCTCCCCGGTCGGCGGTGTGGTGCTCGGTGTCCGGCAATAGTAATAAAATATGTAAGAAACCGGAAAATGATGATGTTACCGTCGCCGTTTGTACTGTCGTTGCTGCTGTCGTTGTGCTCCGTCTGGAGCCCATCGCGGTCCGAACAAACCGACAATGTGTTGCACATCGGTGGCATATTTCCCATTGGCGGCAAAGGCGGATGGCGGGGAGGTCAGGCTTGCGAACCCGCCGTGAGATTGGCCCTGGAAGATGTCAACAAAAACAGCGTACTGTCCGGCTATCAGTTGAAGTTGCACTGGAACGACAGCGAGGTGAGCGGGTGAACGCAATAACAATAACGACTTGGCGCATACGGCTGGTAGGGGCTACACCTGACAAAATAAAATACTTACCACCCCCCCCCCCCCCAGTCGGTATGTCAAGGGTCGTTTATTGGTGCAAGTGTAAATTTTTAAAAAATATAAACGGGTCAATATCCACGGCAAAGCACCTAATGCGTGTGCGAGTGGATTTTTGAAATGTCAAAAACTCACATACATCATATGCATATAGTTCCATAAAACCAAAAAAGTGAAGATAAACATTTTTTCAAATTTTTTTTTGGACCTGGGCGATGCTCCGATTCCGTAAATCTGTACACGTTACTTAACGACTAATTATTATGGAACTTTACTAAACAATTTCAATTTAAGTGTACTTTTTCATAATATACTTGAAAACATTGATATGTATGTAGAACATATTTTGGTAAAAGTTTTGTAATGGAGACTTTTTTTTTACTAGGAGCTGTGAGACTTTGAATTTCTCCTACAATACGAAAATTGAGAAATTCAAAGTCTCACAACTCCTAGTAAAAAAAAAGTCTCTCATACAAAACTTTTACCAAATGTTCTACATACATAATAAGTAAGGGCTGTAAAAATTTCAGAATTTTTGGTTCGTGTCATAAAAAGTTATAGGCTCTTAAGTATAGCATTTTTAAATAAAATGCCAAACTTTAAGGTTATCTACAGGTACATAAAAATTCGATTACAATGAGATTTATATTTCCTTTGATTCATTGAGATAATATTACAAGGAGACAATATTGACATTTACAATGAACGACACTTGACTCTATATATCAATGGCAATCGGAATAATGTTTGAAAACAACCAGAATTAATAAATTTGTAACATGTTTCTTAATGGGAAAAGACATCTTCTATGGTAGACGACATATTATACAGATAAAAAATGATTACCTTATTTGCTGCAAACGCCTGATTTTCGTTTTTTTAACTGCAAATAATTAAAAACTATATACATAATTCTAAGCAAGTGTCTGGTGACTCATCATTGCTCTGCTTATTTATTTTTTTTAGTTTTTACACGGGGGTACTTATAGTAGTTTGCCAGATTTTTTATTTAAATTAAAAAAAATGAACAAGTGGACAGTATGCTTAAATAGCGCTCCCACGAAATAACTTGGAAAATCAAAAAATTGTATCCATTTTATATCCAACGTGTACAAATATAATACTCTACTTGGAACACAAATATAATATGGCATAAAATTCAACACACCTATTATGGCGTCTGGGAATGCTCTTAAAGTTTTTTTCTGATCTGAATTTGTTTATAGAATGTGTGTTAGAGATATTTAATATATTGTTTGAAATTTAGTGCGATCCCGGATTGAGCGCTTCGGTGTTGTACGATTTACTGTACAACAAGCCACAAAAGCTAATGTTATTGGCCGGATGTAGCACCGTTTGTACGACGGTGGCGGAAGCTGCGAAAATGTGGAACTTGGTCGTGGTAAGTATAATGAAAAGTCATTATTTTGTTTGTATCGGTCGACGATAAAGTTAATGTGATAAATCTAAATTTGAAATCCGTTGCCTTCAGCTCTGCTACGGCGCCAGTTCACCGGCGTTGTCCGACCGGAATCGTTTCCCCACGTTGTTCAGGACACATCCGTCGGCCACCGTACACAGTCCCACCAGGATAACGTTGATGAAGAAATTCGGATGGTACAGGATTGCCATACTTCAGCAGACCGAAGAAGTGTTCATTTCCGTAAGCACAACACGGTTAGGTACATAGTGGTCGGTGGCTCAACTAATATGATGCCCTCTGGCCATGTCCCTTTGGAATTCATAATACTGTTTTTGACAAACGACCGTTGAGGGGAATCACTCCTAACCTAACCTAACCTAACCTGACTTAACCTAACCTAACCTAACCCAACCTAACCTAACCTAACCCAAACTAACCCAACCTAACCCAACTAATCTAACCTAACCTGACCTAACTTTGTTACCTTTATGTGCTAATTTTAATAGATGGACACATCCAAAAGCGTATTTTTCATCATAGTATTTATATATATATATATACATACTTGTACATAACTGTCGCTGTTGTAACTGGTAATGTGAGCATAAGCCTTAATGCTATACTTGAACTTGCAATTAACAGTAAAATATACTTTAAATTGTTACCTCAGAATTAGATAGCTTTTCATTAGTGGATGTGAGTGTAACCATGCTGGAACTGGAATTGTTTATACATTTTTTTTATAGAGTTCAGCATTGTAATTTGTCTTGTTCTATTTTAGCTTTTTTTGATCTTTATTCATTTCCAGATGAATATTTCCTATACTTGTCACTATATCTTGACATGTTTTATTGTTGCCTTAAAAACGAATTATAATTTATAAACAAATTATGTATCTATTAAATAATTATTGTGGCAAAAAAAAAACCAATAAGTTATTGAACAATTAATAATATTCTCACAATTTGTTAAAAATATATATTTTAATTAAAATCGGATATTAGTAAAGAACAAACTCAATGTGTGTATGTATTTTGTGTATGTTAATTTTGTAAGTATAATTGTATTCAGGTGTATGTTGAGAGTACGGGGTGCTTACTTATTAACTCTTTTTAGATAGTAAAAGTAAAAATCAGAACTTTTTTTATCAATTATAGTATCTAATTACATATCAAATCCATAGAATTGCTTTTGGCGTTGAAATGGTCACGTTAATTAACCATCACAGCATAACAATAAAATTTAATTATATTAAAACAAAATTACTAAATTTATACTAACATTTTCATGTAAAAAAAATACATGTATATTAGTTTGGACCTTTTTTTTAAAAAGGTGACCTAAAAAATAATCTCCTCTTTAAATTTTGTAATTTGTATTTGAACTCTAATTTTAATGCCACAATTTAAATACCAAGTAATGTAATTTTGCTATTTTGCCAGCTGTTTAAACTGAATCAGTAAATGCGGCGTGGCCTTATAATATGTAAATTGTGAGTAAAATTTAATATGAAGTCGCTAAAAAAATGTGATCCTTGAAGTCTAGTGCCCTGGTGCAAGGACAACCCTACACACCTGCTAATTGTGCCACTGACTGCGGTTATTTTACCTATGATAAGAATATAAGTATTTTTGTTTTAAATTTCACAATCTGTTTTAGACCATGGAAGACATAGAGACGCGTTGCAAGCAAAACGGAATCGAAATCATTACTAGACAAAGCTTCCTGAGCGATCCGACCGACGCCGTTAAGAACTTGCGCAGACAAGATGCTAGAATCATTGTAGGACTGTTTTACGTTGTAGCAGCCAGGAAAGTGCTGTGCGAAATGTACAAACAACAAATGTACGGCAAAGCCTATGTGTGGTTTTTTATCGGTATGTAGTCCTCAACGAGATCTGTAGGGGTCAGTCGTTTGGCAGTATGCTTGAAACTTAAACGTCAACAGGTTGGTACGAAGACAATTGGTTTGAAGTAAATTTGGAAAAAGAAGGAGTCGAGTGCAGTAAAGAACAAATGAGAATCGCCGCCGAAGGTCATATCACAACCGAAGCTTTGATGTGGAATCAAAACACCAACCAAAAGACAGTTTCCGGAATGGTAACGTAAAATAACTGTTGATAAAAACAAATACAAATGATAATGCATTTACATATTATGGAATTCAATTACAGACGTCAGAAGAGTTTCGCGAAAAATTAGAAGATGTGTTGATGGCAGAAGGATTTGCGCTCAACGGTAGTTATCCAGAAGGTTACCAAGAAGCTCCGTTAGCTTACGACGCGGTCTGGGCCGTGGCTTTAGGTACATAATCACGTCCGTTTGAACAGATAGATAGATAAATGAGTACCTAAACAACACTATGTATTTCAGCTTTCAACAAAACCATGAAAACGCTGGAGAAGCAAGGCAAGACGATTTCGGATTTTAACTACAACAACAAAGAGATCGCCGACTATATATACTCGGCTATAAATTCAACACAATTTCTGGGAATATCCGTAAGGCTTAGCCGGATACAACATTAGTTCATCGACAGACACTGAACTCAATTTGTGGAACGCGTAGGAGGCTGCCATTTTGTGAACGGTTATTGTTTTTTTTTCCATTTTGATAAATGTATCATGGAAAAGTAACGTAGCTACTAGTACTTTCCACGAAAACGGTACACAAAATGGCTGCCTCCCAGATTAGGTTAGGTTCCGTTTGAATTGGCGTTCCATATATTGAGTTCAGTGTTGACAGGAAATGCTCTGAGCTCAGTTTTTCTCTCCAGGGACGAGTGGCGTTCAGCTCTCAAGGCGACCGTATAGCGTTGACGCAAATCGAACAAGTAATCGATGGAAAGTATGTGAAACTCGGGTACTACGACGTTCAGTCCGATAACCTGACGTGGTTCGACAAAGAAAGATGGATTGGTATACATATCATTGTTAACACTTTGGAAATTCGCCTTATGTGTAAAATATCTAACGCCGTTGTTGTTTGTGTTTAGGAGGGAAAATTCCCCAAGACAGAACCGTCATTCGCCGTGTGTTGCGCACATTGTCTATCCCCTTACTCATCATCACGTGGGTGATAACGACAATTGGAATAATCGTCGCGGTCAGTCTGATCATTTTCAACGTTCTCAATCATCATCGACGGTATATATTCTTGTAATATTATTATTACCAGAGCCGGATTAAGGAAGAGAGGGGAATTGGCGTAACTAGTTAAAGGGTGGGTTAAGGAAGTTCAGACCTTTTAAAAACCCTGTAAGCTCCCTTGAAATTTCAGTAAAAATTATAAACCTTACATTGGGGACTGTGCTTGATTGTTTGCTGAAATTTGTTTAATATGCCCGAATGAATTGTCTGAATGAGTCTACTTACGCCAATGGGGGAGGGGCTAAGGGACTATAGATACAAAATTAAGGGTCAAACTAGGTGGTGTTGTCATTTTGAATTTGTAAGAGCATTATTTATCAATTATGATAATATTCTTGGTTGTTCGAAAAACATAAATCATGATATTGAAAAAAAGCTGATGTAAGAGAGAAGCAAAATCATTAAAGAAGAAGTTTCTTAAATTCGAGTCGGCTTTTATGTGTATCTTGTGGCAAAATATTTTAGAACGTTGTAATAGAGTTAGTGAACAACTGTAAAATTCTCGATTGGATTTACTGTCTGGTTGTGACCTTATTTATACTTTACAACAATTTTATATTTTATGAAAGGCAAAAAAAATGACATGAATGAGAAACTGTTTAAAGTGGGAGAAAAATGTTTGAAGTTGATACTTTCTTTGTTGTCATAGACAAATTGAGTAATGAAAACTGTTTATTATCCATTCGATTAATATTTTGTCATTGTTTTATCTAACCGATACAGGGTCATTGCACAATCGTACCCAGCATGCAACACGATCATGTTGTCCGGTTGCGTGTTGAGCTTGAGCAGTATCTACTTGTTCGGCCTGGACGGTCAGATAGTATCGCCGGCCGTATTCCCCAACATCTGCCAGATCAAAACATGGGTGCTTTCCATAGGGTTCACGCTGGGCTACGGTGCAATGTACAGCAAAGTTTGGCGTGTCCACAGGCTTCACACGAGCCAGAAGAAAAACGCCATAAGGGTAAACGACGACAAAAAAAAACGAGATGGGTCCTTTTGGGACTCTTGCTTTCATTGGCCAATTGGAATTTGTGTGATTTCAGAAAGCGTTACAACCGTGGAAAATGTATTCCATCGTGATATTCTTGCTGGCCGTCGACATCACGATTCTATTCCTGTGGCAATGCATGGACCCGCTGGACCGTAGCATACAAGTATTTCCATTGGAAAACCCTTTGAACAGCAACGACGACGTTAAGATAAGACCCGAACTGGAACACTGCAAGAGCGAAAATCATAATTTCTGGTTGAGTAAGTTCAATTGATCGATTGTCACGTTTTCAGGTACAAGACGCACACTTGCTGTACCTAAACTGTTCGGCTTTTGCAGGTTTGACTTTGAGCTACAAAGGGTTGCTTTTGCTATTCGGTCTGTTCGTTTCGTACGAAACCCGAAGCGTCAAGTTGAGGCAAATAAACGATTCTCGTTACGTCGGCATGTCAATCTACAACGTGGTGGTCACTTGTTTGATAACAGCACCGGTGATAATAGTCACTGCGTCGCAGCAAGACGCCTGTTTTGCTTTTATATCATTGTCGGTGATTTTCTGTTGTTTTCTCTCGATGGCTCTGATTTTCGTGCCAAAAGTAAGATATTGATATTGTCCGTGTAAAACAAGGCATGTACAATCTTCTTCTTCTTTCTTATCTTCGCCTTACACTCCCCACTACACGGGGTCGGTCACTCCAGCTATCCTCATGTCCCTCTCTATTCAGTCCATCCATATTTTCTTCCGTCTTCCTCTCGTTCTCTTTCCCTCTACATTCATCTAGCACCTCTCACTGCCTCATATCTTCTGATAACATGACTGAACCATCTCAACCTATTCTCTCTCATTTAACCCACAATTAATGCAACTCCTAGTTTCTTACTTATGTATTAATTTCATTTTCTATCCACCCTAGTCACTCCACTCATCCATCTTAATATTCTCATCTGCGCTACACTCATTTCTGTTCAGTTTTCTAGTCTACTGCCCAAAATTCCAACCCATATAACATTGCTGGCCTATCTTCCTATCATAATAAATACCTGACGCTCCTCTCCACTTCATCTATTCACAATTTATCCTATTTTTCATGCCCTACTTATACTCACCATGTGCTACCGATCCTAAGTACTTAAACCTATCAACCTTAAACCGTTTTACTCCTATTAAACCTCAGTCATTTCCCTTTAAGCGCTTCAAGGCATGCACAATATAATATATAAAAATGTGCCCATATCACAATGTGTTTGTTGGGATAATGTAGGTGATAGAAGTGATCCGGGACCCTCACGACAAACCGGAGTCCAAGTACAACCCTGACGCAGGAATGTCCAAAGAAGACGAAGATAAATACAAACGTTTAATCGAGGAAAACAAACAACTTGCAGCCAAAATCAAAGAGGTAATATAAAATAGGAAACGCAACTCTAATGCAATAGACAACACCGAGTGATTTGTTTATTTTTTTTTTTTTGCATAATTTATTTCCAGAAAGAAGAATGTTTGAAACAACTGAAAGCCGATTTGGCCGGCTTAAGAGGCGACCCAGACAAGAACGAGTTGAAATGGAACGACGAATCGCAGCTCACCGAACAATCGTTCTTGTCGCAGTCGGTAAATAAAGATACTTTAATTGTAGCTGATTTCATTACTGGCGAAGGTACATCGGATTCGGCATTCATTGCTGGTACGGCCACTTCTTATTCTAGAGCTAGTGCTTCAGACATGGAATTTTCCGAATCTTACTTGTAAACTTTATACGTGCACGACCTAATCGTATAATATTTTGATCCCACCTATATTAATTACTATTAAGCAACTTCGACCAACTTGAAACTTAATCATTTTTACATTAAACAGGGTGTTTTGAAAAGTTAGAATTATTTCCAAAGTATCATCATTACTATCATCTTTATGTGCCGGCTTTACCAACTCGTCTGCAGCTTTAATAGTTTAGTAATTAAACGCAGAATGCCGTGCAAAGGTTGTACCGATATTACCACAAGCATCAGAAATGTCAAACTATCGGCAAACTTTTTAATTCTGAATACAACAAATATCGATTGAACATACTTTAATACCGCGTCAAATTATTTATCAATTTTCTCAAAAGTCTCTTTACAATATTATTATATTTTCTTATGAATAATAATTGGAAACCATTGAAATGCATTACTTTACCATGGTATTTTTTCCCATCTCATTCGTGGTCGTTGAGTATAATTTCTTATGCACGCCACGTTGAAGCATAGTACCAAAAATTATGTTTTTTAACCTAAGCCCTACCAAGTACATCGTATACGTTTGAAAATTGGGTTTAAGTCGACCAAGCTCCTCGTGTATTCGTAGATAGATAAAATATGTTGCAATATATTCATACACTAAAAGCAATTGACCTAGAAGTTTATTATTATTATTATTTTTTATTTAATTCCACCGAAGATTGATTTCTTAATAATATTAGTGTACGTGTGTGCGGTGTTTTAAATGTGTTACCACTTATTATTATAAAATATACATATTTGTGTTTTATGTACTAAAGTAAATTTCAATAAAACCTAAACAAGAGTACTCTACTACTTTGTTAAACCGTTGTTTCGTTGTCATGGTTGATTTGTACCTGTTACCTATAATAATAATATGTTTACTGACTCTTGCCACTCAATCTATATAGTAAGAATATTGACAAGACTATTGTCTTTTACGATTATACGTACATTTATTTTGTAGAATTTCACGTTGTGTTTATTTTTAAATAAATATTAATCAAATTGCTAATAACAATGGCGTTTTATAGATACACATAAAATATAATACGATAATAATATCAACGCAGCCGAAATTATTACCGTTAAAAATTTAATTTTTACAATAACAATCAATATTATGTTGTGTTGACAAATCATATATTTATAAAAAAAAAAATAATAATAATAATGTTACCATGTCTGTTTTAAAACCAAATTGTTGTCCTACGAGTCTATATGAGAAAAAAAAATGTTTATTTTCTTTATATTAGACGAGATGAAACAATACTAATAATATTATAGATTACTGTAGTACCTACTGGAATGTGTTTTTAATTAAAGACAATTTTAATTGTATAAAAACCGCCACTGTTTTTCATTTCATTTTTTTTTTTTTAATCGTTTTTTGTGTATAGCTTTCAAGAATTGACGAGCACAGTTAAATGTAACCTAACCGGACCGGAAGCAGAACCAATTCATATTATAACAGCGGTAATAGACACCAAGCTTAGACGAAATCAAATTTAGCATCATTAAAAATAATTATAACATCAACTGTATTCTAAATGTTGTAAATTTGCATTTTGCCTAACGATTTAATGTTTTTTTATTCGAATATATTGAACAAGGATAAAAATTATAATAAGTATGTTTACTAACTAAATGTTTTGTTAAAAGAAAAAACGAAAAAATTATTTAGGTCTAATTTTTGTTTAGTTTTATTTTTTTTTTTAATGATGTATATTCTGTGTACGCATGCATGCATCTACAGTTCATTAAATCGGTCAAAGAGAATAGGACAAACATGTTAGTGATGGTAAAAACTTGTTTATTTTTCTGGATTTTATTTAGCAATAGAATAATGATTTCTAAACTCGAGTTAACAAATTTATTATATAATAACGACTTGTTAAGTACCCAAATGTTTTGGTTTATGATAATAATATATACGTTTATCTATTTTGCTAAACATTTTTTTGCAATAACCTTTTTGTAATAATATACAGTCCATGTACAATCTGGGTCTGCAGGTGTAATATATAGTGATTTGTTAAACACATAGTAATCCTTTGGGCCTCTTATGGCAGCGTTCCTATCATATTATCCAACATCACGAGAGTGAAGCAATTTCCATCTAGAATCCATTATGTAAATCTTACACCTGTGGCCAGACCAAAACGGGTGAACTGTGGCTTTTTTTTCTCCAAGTGTAACCGGTTTGATAACTGGCAACAGTTTGTTCATCTACGTTTGTGGTTGCTGTTTTCAAGTTTGTATTTTGTGTTTTTCTTTTAAAAGTGAAATTATCAAGACAAAGCAAGTAAAAAAAAAAAAAAAGTATTTTATTCAAGTAACTTAAATGTAACATAGTGTATTTCTATCTAGTCTTATCACTTGAGCATCAAAGGCATTAAATTGATATGGATAAAAAACACATATCATAAGTGCAGGATGCCTGTATTGGTATGCCGATAAAAAACCAAGTATATAAATTATTTATTTAGACCTGTGAGAGAGAAACCGTGTCTGTAAGATATAATTCACCAACTGTTAAATAAAACATAATAGACATACATAATGGTACATAAAGAATGGAGGTAACCCGATTCTGGGTCAGTAAGAATGGATCGTAACTCTGAATTTTTTTTTTTTTTTACCTTTTAGTTTTATACTAATTCATTCAAACAAAACGGCAGTGTACAACCGGGTAGCTTCCTGATACAGTCTCACTGATATTTTTAGTTTATAATTTACTACAAAAATTTAAGTTAACTCATAATATAATATGACTCTTTTATTTTTTTCTTAATCATTAGACTTATTGAACAATAGACATTTTAACAAAAGCACAGTGGGAATAGTGGGGACGGGCAGGTCACAGTTTTACAAAATCACATCGCAAAAATATGAGTTCTGTCCAAATCGACTTTATATCAACTGTGACTTAATAAAATCCATATTCAGTTAATTATGTAATGTTGACAAATTTGAGCAGATAAGAGCGTGCAGCAACATGGCATTCGGGTACACGATGATGTCAACAGAACAAAATAACACACATTTTTTCGTTTCTTCCATCTGGTACACCGTTATTGTAATTAAAAAAAAATTTTTTTTTTATAAATTTCAACTCGATTTGACCTTTTTTCTCGAAATGCCCGTAAAAGTTTTTTTTGTTTTTTTCAATTTTTAACTGCGAATAAGTAAACTTTTTCAACTTTACCCCCCTCCCCCCCCAAAAGTACCAACTTAATTAAATCTGTGATTTATAGAGTTGCTACTCGAAAGAATTGGTTCAGTATTAAAAAAGTTACAGTGCTTACAGACAAAAAAGAAAAGCCCACATCATTGTAAAACTATAGCATCGGTTCTCCTCATCAAAGCTGAAATTACAATTTTTTTTTTTGCATTAATTTACATTATAGTATCATCATTGGATATAATATTATACATAAATAAATATTTATTACTACCATATTATGTTATAATCAATGGTATTGTTTTTAGAAATATATACATACCTATTATGACATTATTATTTTCTATCTACCCACACCGTCGAAGAGTTGGAAATCATTTTCTAATCGAGTCGCTTTATCCCGTAGGACTAAAATCGATATTTGTTTTCAGGTTACACGTATCAATAACAGTGCTTATACAGTATTATGTTTCAAGTTTAAAATAATAATATAACAACAGCAGCGATGAAAATATATGCAAGCTTTCACGAGAAAGTTTTCCCGGAGCAACGTGGCTGCATATTATTATGTTATTTTCAAAAACGTCCAACCGTTAGATAGATACCGCAGATGTCACTACCAAATGGAATATCATTATTATAATTATACAGACCCTAAGTTGTCGGTGTAACTCGGTTGGAGAATAATCATGCCTGGAATTCATTGAATACAAAATAAGTCTAAACACGAGTAACAATTTCGGTTTTGTCAAGTACAATTGTTTCCGTTTGCACTAAATACATAAATGACGCGTACAAAATTGTTAGTACAGTTGAAACAATAAATTGACTCCTTGTTTGCTGGAAATTATTTTGTAAAAAAAAAAGAAAAAGAAAAGCATGCACTGTACACGTTAAGCGTATTTAATTACACTCTCAAGTTTGGTACCGAGCCAGAATAATTAACAGCTTTAGCATCCCTTACATTAAATGACGGTGTATTAAGCAAAAAAAAAAAAAAAAGGAAAGAAAATGTAAGAGCAAATTGGTTAAGTTCGTTATTTATTTTGCCAACGTATTAGGTGTACAAAGTTAATTGGATGACGCAGCACCTCGTTCATCCATTTATAATGTATAGAATTTATCTCAATACTACTATACGTCACTTTTTCAAACTCTTTTCAGCATATTATTGCCAGAGTTGTGCAAATTCTTAACTCCAAGTAATATGTTATCATATTACAAAAACTCAAAGATCAGAACAATGTAGCAGGTTTTGCGACGATACAACTACAGACATAGAAATAATACATTTTGAAATATCAATCACTAGTGTCACTTTGCGCCGAAGTTCAAAACTAATTGCCAAGAGTTATTACAATTTAATTAAGCAGCCCGGCATTAGTGATAAATAATATCATCCCTATTATTAATATAGTAATAATGTAACATAATCTGAAGTAATACCCCGATAGCGTGTGCGGTACACCAAAGTAGGGCTTGTTTATCATGCAAATTATCAGCCAGTTGTGAAACAATAGCTGCTCGCAATATCATCGGCCTGGTGAATTACAAGGATGCCATTGTTTACACTACGGTGACCACACCACCCCGGGTAGAAAATGTAAAAGGAACGAAGAATAGCCGAGTAGGTAGGTACACTAGCATTATATTCTGGGGGATATGTAAATTTCACCCCGAGGTCCCAGAAATGTTTCCCAAAAAGCAGCCACTCGAGGTATATCACCTTAGAATTTAATACCCTTTGCTATTCTATCTCGTTTTCATATGGCTCGCGGTGTATAATAGTAATTATTACCGAGGGGTTTATACGGTGGTGTAGTTTTTTTTCAACCGGAAGTACAGAACGGAAGTCGCGGATGATTCAAATAGTGAATGTAAATAACACGAATAAACAACGGTTCGGCAATTGTATAATTTCATTTTGAACGGAACAATTCGCGGTGTACAATTATTGCTAGAATACAGTTCTATTTCTGTCGACGCCGTTGAATTTTAATAAATTTAAAAGTGATAAGAGATAAGAGGTAATTGATTAGAGATAAGTGATAACAGAATAGTGATACCATATCCATGGTTCAATGTTTCACCTTGGAGCGGGGAAAATAACTAAATTCTTTTTTTGATAGTAAAAAACTTGTATAGTTTGATTAGTTTATATTTTGTATCTTCTTGATGAGCTCTTTCAGATGATCTTGGAATACATTTTTTTATCGAGTATAGTTTAAGGGTTAATTGAAACTTATTAAGCGTTTATATGATGTAACACAGAAACTTCTTTCAAATTCGAATCGTTGCACAATTTATACAAATCTCTCCCATTAGAGTACTATGTTATATCGAGTAAAGCTCGTCAAACGCTGTTGGCATTACTTTGATCAGTCAATCGGTTTAAAGTGGAGCTATTTTGCAGAATTACAGGGCTTAATAATATAGTTTAATGTGAACGTACGGGATATATGGAATAGGGGCGTTAACTACCCATATGAAATCAATTCACTTGTTTTTTATTATTCCCAGACACATGAATCGATCAATTTACACGAATTTGCATGGGTTTAAATGACAAATAAAAGTCGCATGTGTAGCTGAGGTTCAGATCACTGGAATGATATGACTTTGTGGAAACAGCTGCCTTCGCCTGCGTTAGAGTGACTATGAAGAGGGGAACGGAAGTCGTTCGCAGGAAATCATACCTTCCCCTAGCGAAACGGTAAAGGATTCGAAACGGTCGCCGAGATCATTACTATAATTGTATGTGTCCTACATCAAACGGTTGTACGGGAAATAGAAAATTAAATGGTTTGTGTAGGTAGTAAAAAAAAAAAAAAAGGAAATAGTGTAACGTCATTCGCAAAAATCGTAGAAAGTATTTGCGGATGGAAAACATCACGACGGCATTAGGCTGTGCTC